TCAGCATGGATGGAGTAGAATCTCCCACTTCACAGAACTCTGATACTCCAGGCCCTTCTAATACTTAGAAAGAGAAGCCAAAAGTCCATTTGTGTTTTCATCCTGCCTCTGGGCCACTGAGGCTAAGCCTTGTCTTTGGGAACTCCTCCTCTATTACTGCCACTACAGGCAGTAGCCCTTGGCTCTCTCTGACCTAGTTAGAGGTATCCTGACGTTGTCTGGGGAAGCCAGATGACAGCAATTTCTGTGCTGGCAGGAATCCAGTATTAGCATCAGTTGCTATCTTAGGCCATTTTCTTTCCAAGGACAGAAAAGTAGATATTAGGAATGAGGGAGAGAGGGACAAGTGTGCAAATGAGGATATTTATGCATCTGTGTGCTAGAGCAATAGGGGTATATTCAGGAAAGGTAAGAGAGCCAAATAGTAAATGTTGCCTCTCAAAGATAACATTGAGGGCCGGCCCGGTGGCGCACTGGATAGTGCACCGCTTGGGAAGCGCGGCGGCGCTCCCGTCCGAGGGTTTGGATCCCACATACAGACCAGCTCCCGCTCACTGGCTGAGCGAGGCGCGGGAGCAACACCGAGGCTTGCGATCCCGTTGCCGGTCCCCGGTCCGGTACGGGGGCAACACTGAGGGTTGCGATCCGTTGCCGGACACGGAAAAAGACAAAAGACAAAAAAAAATAAATAAAAAAGATAACATTGAAACATTTTGCTTAGAATTGGTTAGATTGAAGCATTCTCTACCAAGAGATTTGACTTAGAAGATTATTAGAAGAGGAAATCCATTATCAAATTAGACAGCTATAGTTGTCACAAATAGATGAATAGTACTTGTTAGAATTATTCAACTTTCTGATTAGTGTTCCAAAAACATTAGAAATTATGGAAGATCCTTTCATTAATCTGGATTGTAAACTAATTTTAATATTCTTATGGTTAACTTAGAGAATTTTTTTCTACTTTTAAGACTGTTAGAACAAAGCAAATTTTAGGATTAGATTCATCGAAGGACTTTTAGAATTTTATATTTAGGAACATGAACTGAAAAAGATTTAGTAATTAAAAGGTAGTATGCTAGAGATACTATTAGCGCATCTTCATTTCTAGTTGGAATTAATTTCATTTATTAATGAGAAATATCAAAATACGTGATACATGAATACATGAAAAGTATCAAAGTACATGTATGTGGCAGAATAGTTTAGATATCTCAGTCTGGTTTCTCTTGGACCTCTTACCAATTCCAAAGGGAATAAACAATAAATCCTAGTATTCTAACGTAGCACACTGTGATAGTAAAGGCTTATGATGACCATTGAAGCCAGCCAGAAACTAGTGCAAGCTGTATAAATAAGCAGTAAAGTAGGAATGTAGAGTGTTTTAATAAGTGTCTGAGAGATCCCCTTTAGATTTTATGTTAATAAAACAGTAAACTGAAAGGATGGGGCAAGGTTTCATGAGACTGTGTTTTGTGTGTTGTGATAGCCCCAGTGCCTAGAACAGTGCCTGGCCCATAGTGGGCACTGAATAAATGCTTGTGTGGATTAATGATAAAGGGGAGGAAGAAAATAAATGTAAGAGTAACACGAAGTAAGAGGAAGAAATAATCTGCAAGAGTGAAGACAAGTGCATTTTGAAAACAAAGATACCCAGGAAACTTGGATAAATGTGGTAATTACTTGCTGTTTTACCTCACTCTCCCACCTGATAGTACAACTCAGTAAGGACCCTGGCACATTCATCTTTGAATCTACAGACCCTAGCATATAGGAGTTGCAATTTATTGAAAAGCTATCGTTTGCCAAGCACTGTTCTTCCTTACAGCAACCCTGTGAGATATATTATCCCCAAAGCTGCATAGTGGAGCTGGGATTTCAACTCAGAATTGTCTGACTTCAAAGATAATGTACATAATAATTTTCAGGGCAGACTGGGTGCTCAGTAAGTGTGTTGAGTGTAAAAGAAAAAGGCAGGGCAGGAGGGAGAAGGGTAGGTATCAGGAAAGAATTCATTGAGGAGGTGGCATTTGAGTTGGATCTTAAATAAAAGTAAGATTTGGGTATGGTGAAATGGGGCGGGATAGTGAGGGGGAGTTTTCAGGCAAAAGAGGTAATCCGTTCAAAAAGAAAAAAGAAAAACATACACACACACACACAGAAGTATAGACAAAGTAAAGAAGAGTTCTGTTTTTCCGTCATAAGGATGCATTTGAAGACTAGTAGAGGATATGTCAAGGCAATTTGGGTCCAGATTGTGGAGGGTCTTGAATGCTAGTCTGAGATGTTTGGACTTGACTTTGGCAGCAGAGAAGTCCACGAAAGACTTTAGCAGGGAGAACCAAGAAATATGGACCTAAAATTTGGAACCAAGGTCAGTGCTATAGATGTCTTGAAGATGCTTGCCTGAAACTCATAGAATAATGCTGTTTTGGACAAGAATGAACTGAAAATTCCATTAGTAAGAGCATTTTCCAAGTAGTTGAACTCTCGGAGTTGACCATAGGAGCATAATTGGCTAGTCTCAATATTCATGGTAATGCATGAAGAGAAAGGCAAACAAAAGCTGCCAAACAGATGACACATTAATGATGTCATTACTTTCTCTTGCCATTTGATTGACATCAAAGTGGAGAGGAACAGGTAAAGGGGCATGAAAGTCAACTGCAGTGTATATTGAGAAGTAAAATTTAAAAAAGAAAAAAGAAAACAAGAAAAAAAAGAAAAATGGGAAAAAAATTAAATTAAAAAAAAAAGAAAGAAAACCCTTAGAGCATGAACGCTTTATGAATTAGAAAAAAATCAGTGTTTGCATTTGTGTCAGTTTCTGTCTTGGTCTTTTCTGACATAGAGAAACTTTAAAACTTAATTCCTGGGCAACCTTCTCCAGGCATCTGTCGTCAGAGGAGCTTCCCTTTCTGGGATCCGCACTGGAAATAAAATCATCATTTTAGTTTAGTCTGCCATAGGCTCAAAATTTTAAAAATTATTCCTCTTCTTCCTCTTTAGTTAAAATCTTTACTGTCATTTACTGAAATGATGACACTGTTGCACTAGATGTAACAGCTTGCTTTCCTCTAACCACAATAGTTATGCCTTTTTAATATTGTTTTGCATGTTTTTTACTTCTAGTATATGAAATAATGTGCATGTTTTCCCTGTATTTGTTTTCACTTCACATTATATTCTTGAGATCATTTATATTGTAGATAATATAGTATTCCATTGTGTGAATACACTGTGATTTATTTATACATTCAGGTAACAGTGGACATTTTTTGTTAATACAAATGGTGCTGATACAGATATTCTTGTACATATCCCCATATGCAGATGTGCAGGAGTTTCTCTAGAGCAGTGGTTCTCAAATTTGATATGCATCAGAATCACCTGGGAGGGCTGTTGAAACATGATTGCTGGGCTCCCACTGCCATTGTTTCTGATTCTGGAGGTGTGGGGTGGGTTCCAGTAATCTGCATTTCTTATAAGTTCTCAGGTGCTGGTGATCTATTGATTTGAGAACTAACTGCTTTGTGGTATAGATATAGTTGTGGAATTACTGGAGTGAAATAAAGAATGGAAGTTTTCCACTTTTATTGGTAATGCTAGATTGTTTTCCTGCCAGCAGTGTGAAAGAAAATTGTCAGATTGAATGTTTGCCAGTCTGATGGGTGTTAGTGTACCTTCTTATGTGGCAGAAAAAGGAAATCTGTATCTCTTTTTTTCCATGTTACAACTTGCAGAATATATGGAATTTGCTCACTTTAAAGAATGTTATCCAGGACATAGGACTTAAACACACACACACACACACACACGCGCGCGCGCGCGCCTCACACACATAGAAGCAGTATCCCGCAGAAAAACCTGTGGGTGCTGATCAAACTCGGTGCCAGTTGCTTAGTAAGAATCTTAGATAATATTGTGATTTTTAATATTTTGTTCTTCCATTGACTATTTTTTTTTTTTTTTTTTTTTTTTTTTTTTTTTTTCCGTGTCCGGCAATGGATCCCAA